CTCGGTCCGCAGATGGTCACAGTCAGCAGCAGCAGGAGGGTTGTTGCTCCTTAAGCACAGATTTACCAGCTGCAACGCAAGCTCCTCCTGCTGCTTGTTCGGGATTGTTGAAACCTCGAGCAGTACTTTCTTTTTCTTCTTGTTGTCGCTGATCCTGGGCTGCTTGTGCTGAGTTCTTGATGATCTTGAGCTTGAACTAGTAGCAGCAGCATCAGAGGAAGTGGAGGGCTCAGACATACCATCATCAGAATTACGAGCTGTTGGAATTAATTAAAAGATTGAGTTCTTTTACTTTAACTCTTATGCAAATATGATATATTGAGGGGTACCTTTGCATAATATTTATTTCTTTCCTTATCCTCTTATCCGTATAACGTTTTCCTTTCTTAATATCCGATTCCTCCTCCCTCTCACTCTCTCTCTCTCTCTCTCTCTCTTCCTCCGAGCGGAAGATTCTTCCCCATATGGTGGCGACGATCACTCAACGGAAAAATTCACAAAGCTATTAAAAGGGATCTCAGGGAAGTCTGAATAACACGAAAAAGTGAGCAATCTCTATTCTCTCTCTCTCATAATTCTCTACAAGATTTTGATTTATGGTTTTAATTTGTTGGGCAAAAACACATTGAGTAACGGACAAAATTTCGCAGTAAACTTTGGTGCTGACCTTCTTAGGGGTTCTTACTGCTAGGCATGGTCTCATCGAATCGTCTCTGCGAAGGCGACAGCTATTGTTCTAGGGCAGTGATCACACGATTACCCCTTTCTCAGGTCTGCGTTTGTAACCTGTTTTGGGATTTATTTTTTATTATTTGCAGTGATTTTTTAACAATCTAGAAAAATAGTCTAATTATATTGTTTTTGTTTCAAATAATCAATCTGTAATCTTGTGTTCTGTCATTCATTTTGTTTGCCTGGTTTCTAATTTTCCTAATCTCTAAGTTTTAATTGTTTTCTTCCTATTGCATACAATCATTTCGTCTATTCGTTCAATTCTATAACTCTATTTTCTGTAAATTGACATCCCAATTCTGTAATTCACCTCTCATCAAATTTGCTCTCTGCTTTGTGCTCTCTGTCTAATATATATGTATTTGTTTTCAAGCATCAGATGCTAAGTTAATATTCATATGTTTAAGACGTTCATATGTTTAAATTAGTATCTTGCTTTACCTATTGTTAACACTATTAAAACATCAAGTTGTTGATATTATTTGTCTGCGGAACAAATAAGGTTTACAAAACGCTTCAAGCATCTGTGTGCCTATTGTCTGATATTATTAGTTATTACTTTCTTATTATTTTAGCTTAGCAAAGTCTTGACTCAGATCTTTCATATCAAATTAAACTCTTCATGTCTATGTCTCAGTTTCTAAACTAATTTGTTACTGTCATTACAACTTTTGCTTGGTTTGTGAAACATAGGTCTCTGCAGTTATCTATTTATGCATATCTATATTAACTGTGTATTATATTTATTCTTAAAATTAATTAAGTTTAGAGCTCTGCAATTTTTTTTGTTTCAAAACTTAATGTTTATTCATTTGAGATACTGCAACTTTGCTTGTCCTTTGAAATCGTATCAATTGCTTTTGCTAATCTATATTCATACGCTTACACTAGTAGAAAAACGATCAACCTAGACGGAAATTTCCGTCTAGGTTGATTGCAATTCCGTCTAGATTAGTTCATCTAGACGGAATTCCGTCTAGTTTGATTGGTTTATTTTGCTTCCGTCTAGATTGCTTCAAACTAGACGGAATTTCGTCTAGATTGATCAATCTAGACGGAAGTCAACCTAGACGGAATAAAGAATTCCGTCTAGGTTGGCAACCCAGACGGAATTCCGTCTGGGTTGCCAACCCAGACGGAAATTCCGTCTGGGTTGCCAACCCAGACGGAAATTCCGTCTGGGTTGGATTTTTACAACCTAGACGGAATTTCCGTCTAGATTGATTCAATCTAGACGGAATTCCGTCTAGATTGTCTTTTTTCAGGAAAAAAATTTAATTAAAATTTGGATTTCCCTATACAATTACATTAATATTTGAATACATCCAGAAAATACTGTACACGCCACATTCAACCATCCAATCATAATCAAAATTCCCCCGCGGACGGACGGGACAGATGGGAGTGAGGTTTTTTATTTTTAATTGGCAAGTAAACAGTGTTTTAATTTGTTACTACACCTGATGACTTAGTTCATGTCAGTTATCATATCTTGAGTCACTGGCAATTGAGTTAAGTATAATGTGTTGGAATGTTTTTAAGACGGGAACTGATTGAGTGGTATCTATTGAAGGTGATGGTTGCGATGTTTGTAGCGAATGGGTGTTGGATTGTGGTATATAGGATGTTTTGAAGGAATTGTTATTGAAATTTTGATTATGATTGGATGTTGTATTCTGTAGGTCGAGGAAAAATATCATTCAACAATGTTTCTGTGTCATCTATTCGTTGGCCACCGGACATACCAACATGCATATTTGGATCATCATCTTCAGTGATGCCCTCCCTATGCCAGTTCCAGTATTTATATTTCTCATCAAAACCTGATTTTATTAGGTGAATCCGTATATCATTTCTATTCAGCAGCTTCAAATTCCTACACTTACAACAAGGACAGTACATAGCACCGCTTCTTAAATTTCTCGGATTCATTTCCGCATAACGCATGAAGGCTTCACATCCCTCCTTGTATCGTGTGTCGTGAAATCTACGATACCTAGGGATATCTATCCATGACTTGTCAGGAATTATCCTCATCTGTAAATTATATATAAATATTAAATACGATTAGTCTCACAACTACTAATACATCCATTACTCTTATACATTCAACACACATCAAACATACGTTCATATATCATTTAACAATATGAATATTTATCTACATAAAATATATATAAAACATACGTAAAAACTAATAATTACACTAATCTTGTGGCTGTCATAGGAAGGCTTCTATCCATTAAGAATATAGTAGTGCTTACATCCAACTTCATATACTTTGTATATTTTCATTTCTTGAAAATTTCGGCAGCACCTACCCGCTGTTCTCCCTGTACACTGTGCGGATGTTATTATGCGTATTAGTAATAACCCGAAACGCAGAACAACATACACTTATTGTACACGGAGAACAACGAATAGGTGCTGCCAAAACTTTCAATAATGAAAATATACAAAGTATACAAAGTTGGATGTATGCACTACTATATTCCTAACCCGTCCGAGAAGGACAGATCCAATAATTACGAATTTCAGTACCAATTTTTTATTCCTATAATATAAAATAAACGCTCATTTTTGGGAGAAAACTTCATCTCCTACCCAAATCTGAGTCGTATATCATATATTATAAGTCCAAATAATTGGATGTAATTATTGGACGGAAGTCTAGGGATAACGTTATTTTTTTATTCACCTAAATTGGATTATAACACATTATAAAAATTTATAATGTGTTATATATCACTCTATTTTTTACAAAAAATTATTTCACATATTTTCACATCACAAACTTAAATAATCACACATACTTATAGCACGAATGAAACTTAAATGAGTTAGGGTTTATAAGTGTTTAAAACTCAATAATGATAACTAGTGTTGTTCAAATGAATTAACATGTATTTAATTAAGTTAGGATTTTCAGAATTGAACTCGTTTATTTTTCAACATAATTAGGGTTTTTAACCAAATTCAACAATAATTAATAATAAAATTAAAATTTCTAAAGCTCAGTAGAAAAATCATACCTTTTAAACTGATTTCCGCAACGGACACCGCCGAAGGAGGGGGGGTCGGGAGGTTCCGGAGGAGGGGGGGTCGGGAGGGGGACAAAAGATTTTTTTGTGTGGTACATGCTTAGAACTATATGCGCCAATGGCTCACAAAATTGAAGAAAATTAAAACTCACAATGATATGCTATCAAGAATGGATAAAAATGAAGTATATGCACACTGAAACTATTAAAAGTACAAATATAAAATTGTTTTGCTGGTTATGCAAAGTTCTAAATAAAATGTTTTTTAAATAAAAACTCTTAGAAAGAGTATAAAAGGACACTATATAGTATAGTTACAGCATGTACTAGTCTAACAAATGAACTAACACTAGTAGAAAATCGACCAAACTAGACGGAACAATCTAGACGGAAAAAAATTCCGTCTAGTTTGGAGCAAACTAGACGAAAAATTTCCGTCTAGTTTGTTCCATCTAGTTTGGATCAAACTAGACGGAAAATTCCGTCTAGTTTGACAAACGAGACGGAACAGTCAAACTAGACGGAAATCCGTCTAGGTTGACTAGTCAACCTAGACGGAATTTCCGTCTAGGTTGAGGCAACCTAGACGGAAATCCGTCTAGTTTGACTGTTCCGTCTCGTTTGTCAAACTAGACGGAATTTTCCGTCTAGTTTGATCCAAACTAGATGGAACAAACTAGACGGAAATTTTTCGTCTAGTTTGCTCCAAACTAGACGAAAATTTTTTCCGTCTAGTTTGTTCCGTCTAGTTTGGTCGATTTTCTACTAGTGTTAGTTCATTTGTTAGACTAGTACATGCTGTAACTATACTATATAGTGTCCTTTTATACTCTTTCTAAGAGTTTTTATTTAAAAAACATTTTATTTAGAACTTTGCATAACCAGCAAAACAATTTTATATTTGTACTTTTAATAGTTTCAGTGTGCATATACTTCATTTTTATCCATTCTTGATAGCATATCATTGTGAGTTTTAATTTTCTTCAATTTTGTGAGCCATTGGCGCATATAGTTCTAAGCATGTACCACACAAAAAAATCTTTTGTCAAATCCTTTGAATTACCAAGACTAGCAATTTTATTTTCTTTATGGCTAATGTTGATCTATCTAAGTTCGCCAAACCTGAGAAGTTTATCGGTTTGAACTACAAACGGTGGGCTAATCAGCTGAGATATTGTCTTACAGCTTTATGACTTATTTTTGCTATTGAATCTGACTCTTTTATATCACCAACTACGCCCTCTTCATCATCACAAGCTAAACCTACCTCCACTCCTACCACATCATCCACAAATTCTAAATCTCCTAAGGAAATAAACTTTTACTGTTACAATCGAATCCTTAGTGCTCTTTCAAACAAATTGTATAATATTTATTATGAGTATAAGGATGCAAAAGACTTGTGGGTAGCACTAGATTCTGAATACGGTTTAGATGATGTCAATATAGAATGTTTCTCCTCCTCCTCATTTAATAAGTTTGTTATGATAGATAGTAAACCCATCAATGATCAGTTCCGTGTATTTCAAAACTACATATGATATCTTCAGTCGAAAGGAAATACTTTCTCTGAAGAATATAAGGTATCTAGTGTTATTGATAAACTTCCTCCTTCGTGGTCGGACTTTGCTAAAGATCCCCGTCATCTGCAAGGTGACTTGACCCTTGTACAAGCCCTCAAAGGTATTAGGATAGAGGACCAACATAGGGAAAACTCTAAGGCAAAAAATAAAATGAAAGCAAAAGTAAACCTAGTGGAGGAAAAGCCTAAAAACTTTAGAAACTCAAATCACAAGCCCAAAGGAAAGAATTTCAAGAAGAAAAATCATTCTCATGGTCCTAACCAACATCCCAATCTCTCTAGAAACCACAAACCTTTTAGCCAAAAGTCTAAGACTAAATTTTGCTATGTTTGTGGAAGAACCAATCATCTCTCGACTCATTGCTTCTACCAAAAGAAAGCTCCTATCAAGACTCCTATAGGCGGAAATGGTAGAGAAGCAAGTCACAGGGTCAACATGGTAGAAAATAACTCAGACTCCTTTACGTTGGCTTCCTCTTCTTATGTAGTAAAATTTACCACTTTTTCTGATGACTGGTGGTAGGATTCTGGAGCAAATATTCACATTTCTTTTGATCATTCTTGGTTTTCAACTTATCAGGAATCAAGTGGAGGGAGTATAATTCTAGCATATAACTCGACTAGACAAGTAATGGGAAGTGGACATATTGATCTAAAGATGACTTTTGGAATGATTTTGACTCTCCACAATGTCCTGCATGTACCATTACTAGAAGAAATCTGATTAGTGATTTTTTTATTTAAAGTTGGATTTAGAATGGTCAAAGAGTCAAATAATTTTGTAATTACCAAGAATGATATTTTTATTGGTAAAGGTTTTATTTGTGATGATCTTTTGAAGTTGAATGTAATAAGATCTTTTGATAATAAAAGTTCTTCTTCCATAATCTTAAATGTTGAATTTTGTGACAAATGGCATGGAAGGTTAGGACACATAAACTATGGAACCATTAGAAAAATAACATCTTTGAACTTGATATCCAAAACTAGGATAGATCCACCTTCTAAGTGTGAGATTTGTGTTCAAGCTAAAACCATTAGAAAATCTTTCCACTCTATTCATAGAGATTTTGAGCCTCTAGAACTCATACATAGTGATGTTTGTGATTCAAACAGAATTCTTATTAGGGGTGGAAGAAGATACTTTGTAACTTTCATAGATGATCATTCAAAGTATTGTTATACTTATCTTCTCAAAACTAAAGATGAAGTCTTAGAAAAGTTTAAGATATATAAAGTAGAAGCTGAGAATCAAATTGAAAAGAAAATCAAGATCTTAAGATCGGATTGTGGGGGGAGTATACCTCAAATAACATGATCGAATATTGCCAAGAGCATGTCATTATTCATGAGGTGACTGCTCCCTACACACCTCAATCCAATGGAGTTGCTGAAAGGAAGAATAGAACTCTCATGGATATGGTGAATTGTATGCTTCTCAGCTCAGAGCACCTAAAAACCTATGGGGTGAAGCACTTCTGTCTGCTTGCTACATTCTTAATAGGGCACCTCACAAAATATATGATATCACTCCCTATGAACATTGGAAAGGTAGAACACCTAGAATAGATTATCTTAGGTTTAGGGATGTCTAGCTAAGGAAGAGATACCTAAACCTAAGAAGAAGAAAATTAGTTCCAAAACTATAGATGTTGCATTTATAGGATATGCATTAGATAACAATACAAAATGATTTTTTAATTATCAACTCATGATATTAGTTATATATATAACCAACAACACTATCATTGAGGTACGAGATGCAATATATATTTGAAGATATATTCCCTTTCAGGACTAGGATTCCTAGCGAGCTCTCTTCTAGCACACTTCCTTCTTCTAACTTTGCCTCATCTTTCAGTACTCCACAATCTATAGAAGTAGAACCTAGAAGAATCAAGAAAGGAATAACTGAAAAGAACTTTGGAAAAGAGTTCTTTACCTTTTTGGTTGAAGGTGATCCAAACACCTACCAAGAAGCCATGGATTCTTTCGAAGCTTCTTTTTGGAAAGAAGTCATAGATAGTAAAATTAAATCTACTATAGAAAATAATCCTTGGGTGTTAATTGACTTACCTCCAAGATGTACCAGTTAGTTGTAGATGGATTTTCAAGAAGAAATTAAGACCTGAGGAAACCATTGAGAAATACAAAGCTAAACTAGTAGCAAAAGGGCATACTTAAAAAAAGGGTGTTAACTACTTTGATACATACTCCCCTGTAGCTAGGATTTCAACTATTAGAGTTCTTCTAGCCTTAGCTTCTATTCACAATATGACCATTCACTAAATGGATGTTAAGACCGCTTTCTTAAATGGCAATCTCGAAGAAGAGATTTAGATGGATCAACCGGAAGGGTTCATAGCCAAAGGTCAAGAAAGAAAGATCTGCAAATTGGTAAAATCTCTATATGGGCTTAAACAAGCTCCTAAATAATGACACCAAAAATTTAACAAATTTATTACAGAATATGGTTTTTCTATCAATGAGTTTGATAAATGTGTTTACTCAAAAGTTATTCACAATGATTGTGTCATCTTGTGTTTGTATGTAAATGATATTCTCATCTTTGGGGCCTCAATTGAAGTTGTTCTAGAAGCTAAATGTCATTTGTCAAAGAATTTTGACATGAAAGATCATGGAGAAGTTGATTTGATTCTTGGAATGAAAATCTCCAAAATTTCTAAAGGCATTTCTTTGAGTCTATCCTATAGCATAGACAAAATGTTAGAGAAATTTGAATTTCATAAGTGCAAACATGTGAGAACACATTATGATTCCTCAGTCACCTTGAACAAACATGATGGTGAGCCTATATCTCAACTTAGATATTCATAATTGATAGACTCTCTTCTTTATGTGATAAACCGAACCAGACCTAACATTGCTTATGCAATAGATAGACTAAGTAGATACACTAGTAACCCAAGTCATGAACACTGGAATGCATTAGAAAGAGTCTTTAGATATTTGAGAGGTACAACAGACTATTGTTTAACTTATACTGGATACCCTGATGTGATTGAAGTGTATAGTAATGCTAACTAGGTCACTAATTTTGATAATGTGAAGTCTACTTCTGGATTTGTTTTTATGCTTGGCGATACTACTATACCTTGGAAGTCTTGTAAGCAAACTGTGATTGCTAGAAGCACTAAGTTTGAACTTATAGCTTTAGATTCTTGTTGCTTAGAAGATGAATGGTTGAAGAACCTTATACCTGAGCTCCTTTTTGTGTCTGGGCCTATTCCTCCTTTATCTATTCACGCAAATTCTAGATCCACTATTGAACTTTTAAAACAAAAGAGCATCAATAAAAAGTTAAATAGACATCTGCAGATAAGATTTAAATATGCACAGAACCTTATGAAAAAATATGTTTCCTTGGATTTCGTGAAGTCAGAAAAAAATTTGGCAGACCACTTGATAAAGGGTTTATTTAGGAGTGCAATCCTGAAATCATTGTGGGAAATGGGGTTAAGCCCATAGTAGAGTTCACTGATAGCGGGAACCCAACCTTTGATTGATGAGTTGTTCTTATAAAAAAAGGTTCAATATGGTAGAAACAAGCTGGATTGGTGATCTCATGTGGAGCACTGACCTTCATATAGTTATACTCCTTTTGTAGTGTTGGATGCATTTATGAGTAGCACCATGTTAGCTACTCCCACATTCCTATGATGATAGCGCTTTTATGATATGACTGGGCAGGATGAGTTCTACTCTTAATAAGTTCAGCCTTTGTGGGGGGTACAATATCCAGTCACAGTACCCTTGGAGGACTTACCTACGTGAGAGGAACCGTGACGGTCGTGGTTGGGGACATAGGGTTGATTCCTAGTAACTCTCATGAGATAGTTATTATGAGCATGGTCATTAACGCTTCGACCCACTCGCTCAATAAATAGATGCATATTATGTGTGCTTTTGTTAATTTCTGATCAATGGGCCTAATTCAAGGTCTAATCCATTATGCCCCTCATATTGCGATAAATATCACTAAGTAAAGATTCAAACCGAAAGCTATCTTTGCCAAATTCACAATATAAGGTTGCTTGACCTATATTTTATCATTATTATTGTTGTTATTTTTTACTTTTTTCTTTTATTCCCCGAAACTCAATCTTTTTTTTTGGGGGGGGG